GGTCGAAAGGTAACTAGTAAACTTCATGTTTAACTAATTATAGTAGCATAACGTAAACGTAATTATATTCTAAAAGATATGGCGTGCTGGCGAATTTGACAAGAAACTTTATTAATTGACCAGCATAATATGCTTGGGATTTAATTTCACATAAAGTTATTGGTAGGACTTAGACAATATTTCATATTACATAGTAATTCAGCATTTTACAGAATGCGAGCAACGTTAAGGCGTTATAATAATAAATTAAAAAAGTAAAAACGGCAGCACATTTACACAGTCCACCTGACAGTAGGAAACTGCTCATACTGGCAGCTGTCACCCTCCACTCTGCAGAAAGAGGATAAATTTGCCTCATAAACTGAATTCCATTCTATTAATTTCATTCTATCCTATCGTATCCTATCCTATCATATCCTACCCTTTGAGTATATTCACAACCCCATATCATCCAGTTTGAGTCTTAAGAGGCGACAGAGGGAAACAAGTCAGGAGATGGGCAGCAGCGTCTTCCTAATTACGACTAAAAATAAAAAACTGCGGTTTCTAACCCACTTGCCAAGCGTAGCAACTATGGAAATTATCCCCCCCCCCCCCCCCCTAAAGAGACAATCTATGGAGGAGGCCTATGATCAGCAGTGGACTTTAGTAGGCTGTAACGGTAACGGTAACGGTATCCTAAATCAATATCTTATGATAACTTAAATTTAGTACTAAATAAAAATGCACGGAAAATTTTTAAGTGTACTTAACTAAAGAAGGAAAACCAAAAGATAATTTTAAAACACGTCATCACAGAAAGTTACTGTTGTAAAATACAATCTTGGCGCGATTCCAAGACGGAAAAGCTGATTTCAAATTCCTCGCTAATTACAGTCTACCCGTAAATGCGAAATATTTTCCTTGTTTCCTACAAGGGTAAACTTGGAAAAATATTTACACCTAGAAATAAGAGAATACAAGATTTAGCTCGGCATCTGCGCTTAATTATATGACGTTCAATTTTATGTTGGTAAATTTTGTAGATTTACTTAATCTTTTCTTTAACTTATTATTTCGTCATCATCAAAACCTTTCACAAGTCCATTGCTAACATAAGCCTTCCCCAAGGAAAGCAACAAAGCATCGTCCTGAGCCACCTGCATCCACCGACTTCCTGCATGTCTTATTAGGTCGTCACTCCATCTAGTAAGGGGGGGGGGGGGAGCACTACACTTCTCCTATCGGGACGGAGCTACCACTCGAGAACCTTTCTTCCCCATCGGTTGTCAGTTCTTTGAGCTATATGGCCGGCCCGTTGCCACTTTAGCAGCACTTGACAACTTAATAATCCGTATAAATTATCAATTATAATTTATTAGCTAAGATGTTTTTAAAAGTATATATACGTCATAATCGCTCTATAATGGCAATACGAAAGTCAGATAATTGCCTAAATTACCTGACTTTCGTAAAAGTCGCGGCTATACCTTCGCTACAGCGTGTAAATCTTCTAGTTATTCGAGGCAAAAATGCCTTCCTGTGTTTTTAGGTGGTGCACAAATTACAAGGCAACTGTTAGAGACAAGAAAAACGTCTCTCTAATTTTTTTAATATAGATGTTTTGTTCATAATTGATTTTATTATTTCAACACTAACCGCTAGTGTAAATCTTGACGCTAGTGCTAGCTAGCTAAACGGTATCCGTATCGGTGTCACGCGCTCGCGCCAATAAGCGCTCTATATTCATCTTTTTCTAACGATAGGTTAGGCCCTATCATTTGTCTCTTTTTGTTAGTGCAACGTTTCATAATAAATAACTGTACGTAGATATAGTACTATCTGCGCCACTTTAAAATACAATAATGTTTATTAATATATATTAATAAAAAAATTTAAAAGGAAAGAAACAGTTGTGCTTTTGCAAGCTTCGTCCAGAAGAATATGAAAATTGAGTTAAAAAGAACAAAGATGAAATTAAGAGGTATCTTCGCACCTGTGTGATTTTAATTCCATTTAAAACTTTATTTATCAATTTGAGATTGATTTATATTCTTTTTGCTATTATATATTTTTTATTCTTTTTTAAAGTTATGTATTTAATTTGTTACCTATGTTTAAATTGAAAGTAATTATCAGATAGTTTACGATTCAATTAATTTTTTAATATTTTCATTACTGTATCTTAAAAAATAATCAAAACGCAATAATTATAAATTAAGTTACGTATTCACTTCTGTGGCATATTTTTATTAAGGTACAAGACGATTTTATATTCACTTTTATTCAGTTATGGTTTTATATTATTTTTATTACTGTGTCGTGCAAAAATTAATGAAGTAATGTGATAGATTACATTTTCACGTACTTAAATTTACCATAGCTCATCATAAATTAAATTATTCATCTTTTATAGTTAAAATAACACTTTTTCTTTTAACAACCACAAACTAATCTAGATAAGTTAAATTCAATTTCAATTCAAAATTCAAATGTAACAATCTTTACACAGTGAATATAATAGGTCTGCTAAACTTTTCTTATGAATGATATATCTATAAATATGATATGTTATGCAATGAGCTTATCTTAAAACAATAGAGAGCAACATACGATATATGAACAGGTACATAAAAATAAATTATAACACCAGTCTAATAAAAACGAAAATAATAATATCTGAAAATAAATAAGAAATGGTCTGTTATAGTATTAACATAAATATGAAAATAATGAAATACAGTAAAGTAAGAAATAAAATAATTAAGAGAGGGTTTAATTCTAATGTTCCTTAACAGAGTTAAAAACGGCAAAAAAAATTGACTGACAAAAATGTTATCCCACTTGTACAAAAATTAAAATATATGTAATTAAAAGATATGAGGAATGGAAGAAAAGAATGTTCGAAAGTGTGAATACGAATGATTGAGTTGCTAAGTTTCCTCAATATTGGACTGATCACCCAAATATTGATGAATGCTTAAACTCCTGGTATGAAATTCATTATGAGCGAGAATAATGCAAGTTAGTATATAGAAGTGGAGCATGCAAGTGAATAAAAAATAACAGATACACTCAAATTGATATTAAGATGTTAAAAAAAAACACGGTTATGTATAAATAAAGAAGGAAATAAGATTTATTAAGAGAATAGAAATAAAATTGACCTTGACAAACAAGTAATGGAGAGATACGGGAACGTCCATCACTGGTAAAGCATACAGTCCTCGAGCAGGGTATGTTTCCATGATTGGATGATAAAATCGGTAGTAACGGTTACTAGGGAACAATACCTTCAGTACAAGTGAGATGTGAACGAGTCTACTCATATTAGTACTGTTGGCGACCAGAGAATTCTTAAATTTGTTACCCTTAATAATGGTACATAGAGGTCACATCCTTCATTGGATCATAGTGTGAACTTAGTTTTCCTCCGTGACAATTGTTGGAGTCCTTTTAAAATGACTTAAATGTTGACCTCAAGGTTATGCGCACAATCCAAGTACAGTTCTACCTTGAGATAGTATGATAAAAAAGTTAATGTACCAATAAAATGAAATGAATGTAAGGAAAATGTAATATAATATCCAAGTAAATGGGGGACCCATATTTATAAAGTAACCGCGTGATAAATATCACGAATAAAATATAAATGAAGTGAATTAATACTCCGATTCCCGATATCTAATTAATAAATAAATATATAAGTGAATAGAATTACGAAAACAAATTAAGCTAGCTAAAAGGTCAAAAAGAATAAATTATTATGAAAGGAAAGAAAGTATGTACATACAAGAATTATACAAGAAAATATAAATACATATATGTATAACCTTCTTCTTCTTCTTCCTTGCCTTGTCCCTTTATTTGGGGTCGGCTCTCCTCGTTTTTATGCGCCAAGATTTCCTATCTTGGGTTGTCTGTATTTCAAGCTGTGCTCGTTCCAGATCCTTGGATACGGTTGTCCACCACGTGGCTAACGGGCGTCCCCTGCCTTTCTTTTTCTCAGGAATTGCCAAGGCCTTCCTCACTGGGTGTTCTTCTTCCCGCCTCATCACATGCCCATACCATCGCATACGACTCTCGACCATCTTATCTACAATGGGCGCAACTTTAAAGGAGCCTCTGATGTACTCATTGCGCACTTTATCAAGTCTCGTTACGCCTGCTGACCATCGTAGCATTTTCATTTCATTCGTGTGCATCTTTTTTTCGTGAATCTTCTTGGCCGCCCAGCATTCGGCACCATATAACATGGCAGGTCTTACAGCAGTTTTGTAAATCTTGCCTTTCAGTTGTATTGGCATCCTGCTATCGCAAAGTATTCCTGATAGGGTTCTCCACCTTAGCCACGCTGCATTAATTCTATGAGTGACGTCTGCGTCAATGTTGATATCCGCTGTTAGCACTGACCCGAGGTATTTAAATTTATTGACGCAGGGCAGTGGCTGGTCGTCGATGGAGACACTTATGTTAGGCGTATATTGTTCACTAAAACTGCATCTCAGAAACTCGGTCTTGCTCCTGCTGATATGGAGGCCATTGTTCTCGAGAGCCTGTCTCCATTGCTCGAGTGTCGCTTGCAGTCGAATCGCACATTTGTCGATGAGCACAATATCGTCCGCATATAGCATGCACCATGGGAGGGGGGACTGGATGTCTTTAGTTAGATAATCCAGAGATAGGTTAAATAGGAATGGGCTTAGTGCCGATCCCTGATGCACTCCGACCTTAACTTGGAACGGTTCGCTAAGTCCTGCCAGGCTTCTCACCTGTGTGCTTATGTTTTGATACATATCATGCACCAGGTGAATATGGTTAGTCTAGTGGTTAGTGACCCTGACTGCTATGCCGGAGGTCGTGGGTTCGATTCCCACCCAGGACAAATGTTTGTGTGATGAGCACGATCATTTGTTCTGTGTCTGGGTGTAATTTATCTATAATATTTATGTATTTAGAAATATATAAGTATGTTTATCAGTTGTCTAGTACCCATAACACAAGCTCTGCTTAGCTTGGGACTAGATGGCGTTGTGTGATAGTTGTGGAATATTGTTATTATTATTATTATTATAGAGTTCTGGTATTTGTTGTGCTCTCATAGCTTCCCAAAATAATTTACGTGGTATTCTGTCGAAAGCCTTTTCCAGGTCTATGAACACTAGGTGGAGGTCTTCTCTGTTGGTTCGGTGTTTTTCCATCAGAATCCTTATGGCTTGGATTGCATCAGTCGTTGATCTTCCTGGCGCGAAACCACACTGATTATCAGATATGGACACCAACTGACAGAGTCGATTGTTGAGTATGCGCTCCCATAGTTTCAAAGTATGGGAAGTAAGTTTGATACCCCTATAATTGCCGCAGTCACTGACATCTCCTTTGTTCTTGTAGAAAGGTACCAGATAACTATGACGCCAGGACTTTGGGATCTTCATGGAGGTTAAGATTTGGTTAAAGAGCTTCGTTAGCCACTGTACAGCAATAGGCCCCAGCAACTTCCACAGATCAGCGGGTATACTATCCGGTCCAACTGATTTGTGGTTTTTTATCTTTTTCAGAGCTCTTTTGACCTCCTCTTCACCTATTTTGTTCAATGGCCCAGCTGCGCTAGGGGTTGTATTCAATGGTTGACTCGGGAATTCTTCGTTCAGTAGTTTTTGATAATATTGGCACCATCGCTCATTAATTTTGTTATCTTCTGTTAGTAAATGGCCATTTTCGTTTTTAATGTATTTATTAATTTTAATATCCAGACCGTTTTTATGGCGTTGTTTGGCGAGCTTAAATATATCTCTATCATTGTTTGCATTTTCAAGGCGTTTGTAGAACTTTTCCCTGGAGTAATTTCTTTGTTTTGCCACTTTATACTTCGCCAGCTTTGTAGCGGTTTTATATAGTATGTGGTCGTCGTCCAAACCTGAGCTCTGCCATTGTTTGAAGCACTCTTTCTTGTTCCTTAATGCGCCTTTTACTTCTTCATTCCAACATGAAGGATCTTTGTTATTATGCAGCTTTCCTCTCGATATTCCTAAGTTTTTCTCAGCTGAATTCCTGCACAGGTTTTCAAATTTAGACCACGTATTCTCCGCAGAAATGTTATGGCCATTTTTCATATCTTCAGTTAGTATTTCCCGTATCTCCTCTAATAATTTGTCTCCTTTTTCTGTGTTTAACAGGTGCCACTTAATTTTGGGGATTTTGACCGTGGTGTATTTTATAGGCTTGATTAGCGCTATACAGCCGACCAAAATTCTGTGCTGTGAGGTCAAAGATTCGCCCGGTATTACCTTGCAGTCTCTGAAAGTTCTTAGTAAATCTCTGTTTGTGAGGATATAGTCAATTTGAGATTGCTTGTTCCCGCTTTTATATGTGACTAGGTGTTCCGACTTTTTATTAAAGAAGGTATTAACTACTGCCAGGTGATGTCGCGCGCAGAATTCCAGTATTTGTTCTCCGTCTTTGTTCAGTGTGCCATAACCAAACTTCCCTTGTATGTCTTTGTACGTCGTGTTACTGGCCCCAACATGGCCGTTCAGGTCTCCTCCAATATATTTTAGTTCCTCGGGTGCCATTGAGATTAGTAAGTCATCAAACTCGTCCCAGAAAGCTTCTTTCTCACTTTCGCCACACCCGGTCTGTGGTGCGTATGCCGAGATTATGTTCAAGGGGGGTTGGTTATCCATAGCCAATTTCACTGCCATAAGTCTATCGTTCCTTCTATCTACGTCAATAATACGTTGTTTGAGGTTTTCATCCAAGACGATGGCAACTCCGTTACGCATGCTAGTATTGCCACAGTACAAGAGCTGGTATCCGAGTCCCAGATCTCGTGACTTCGACCCCTTCCACTTGGTCTCTTGTAGGCAGCATATGTTAATTTTTTCGTGCCTGTAATACTTTCGCCAGCTCTTGACCCCTTCCTGTTAGTGTGCCCAAATTCCACGTAGCTAATCTTATTTTAGATTGTATTAAAATATGCGACTTTTCGTTCTTGTCATATTCGTCGCTTACGGGGAACGCCCTAGCATATTCTTCATTATCCGCATACTTCGCATTTCTCTCATTCACGTCGCTTCTGGGGTACGCCCTAGCTGTATTCACTTTCTTTATATTACCTTTTTTCATGTTAACGAGGAGAAGAGTGTTTGACTGTAGTTTTACGGCCGGTTGTCACCTAACGCCAAGACTGTACCTTACTCGCAAGGTGTGGGCGCTGCCGTTGACCCTTTCATGGGTTCTTCCGCCACCATCCCTACTGAGCATTCCAGCCTAAACGCTCAGCACTGCATAGACCTCACCTTCAAGTATGTCGAAGAAGCTCTCTGCAGGGGTTTGATACGGAGTGTCCATCTCCGGCCTGTTGGTCCGCGGGGGCTATTTTATTTCACCCTAACCCTCTGAACACCCCTAACGGAGCGTCCAGCGAGCTTTCCCCCATCCGCCACCTGGGAACGCGTTCTCTAGGGATCAGGCTCCCCCGAGAAACATATATGTATAACCTAAGGCCTAATAATTTAAACAGAGTAAATAGGAGTAGTGGTACTGGTATTAAAATAAGTACAATGAAATGAGAATCATTCAGCATCTTCCGAGTTCCGAAATTACACGTGAAATGAAAAAGGGGATCTTCCGCCGGGCAAGGTGTTCTGCCCGAGGAGCGGCCAACGCTCCGAGTGGCTGTTCGGAGCTATTCTATATATACTGCTTTTACTTCGGTACTTTGATAGTGATATTTAGACTTCGATGTATTTCGCTTGTGGCGCGACAACAGCGCCGGACCTCCCTGCTCAGACCGAAGGTCGATGTACAGTCCGATTGCCGGTGCGTCTTTAATGCATGCTGTGTGTGTAAGGACAAGTGACACCGGTATACCGGTGTGTAATGCGTGCCATACAATGCACTTGTAAGTGATGTATGTGAAAACGATGTTCCGGAGCAAGTGCAAGTCAAGGAGCTAAAGACTGCAAAAGACGATTCTTGGGAGTGAATGGCAGCGGTTTTTTAAGGATAATGCCGAAGGCTTGAAGTTGTAATTTTCTGAAAGTTGTTGGTTGCGTGTTCATATGACGTCAGTTGGTCACCAGTTTGGCCAAAACTAATACCTGAAGCCTGAGCCTATCCACACACTGCCTTATAGAAGAGATATTGCTATAATTGCACGCTCGTCAGGCGATTTGCTAACCGTATAATTTTTTTTATTTAAGTTTATTTTGATTTGTTTTAGGGACAGTGCTGCTGTCCATCTTCTATTTCAGTTTCACTGTGCCGGATCTTACGACTCTTACGAGATGATCGAATTGAATCTTACCCCGCTAGAAGGTATAAACAAGGTAACAATGTAGCTGCTTTTAAAATTAATTTATTGGGTAGATTGAATTTATATTACATTAGTTATTCTCTAGAATATAGGCCTCCCCATGAAGAGTCACAAAACAAAAACACAATACTTAAGTCTTCCAAACGATTCCCCACAATGTCTATCTCGTCGACAAATCATTATTTAATAACTAAAATTATCATATAATAAAAAGTACATTACAAACATAAAGAATAAAATTAAATTAACAACACACCAGAATATATTTTTAACTCAGCACGTCAACCTGTAAGTACTATAAGCTGACGGTAACTGCACTTACGTTATTCTCGTCCTTTAAAATTTCGTGTGCATTTGCGGAGTTTATTTCATACCCCGTGCTTAACAACTTAAAAACAATAAAGAAAAACTTAGTAATAGCCGGAGAGCTTGCCGCCACTTTGACTTACGTAGTAAATACGAAGCTACAGTTTTGTATATTGTTAATTTAATATGAATTATTTACATAAAATTCAAATAAACGATATTTATTACTGTTAAATTAAAACATAACTTGTGATTAAAAATACTTGCAATTTATATTAAATAAGAAAAACGTTCCACTCTATTAGAAAATCGTGACTGTCCTGAGCAGGGATATTTGCCGGTACCACCATTGCCCCCTCTCCCCCCCCTAAATTAATAAAATTTTGAAAGATTAAATCAAAGAAAAAATAATATGCTTTTATAAGCTTGACACTTAAATATATTTTAATTTACACATTTTTAGGAATGAAGAAAAAATCCCAGAGTATTCCGTTTGCATAATTCACAGGCAAACCGAATGTCACATATAGGGTAAAGCTTCTAAGGAGCTGTCATAATTTTTGGTAGGGTTGGCACAATAGGATAAAATTAAATAAACAAAACGATTGTCTGTTTATCAGCAATAGATACATAAGATATAATATTTTTTACAAACTACGTATTCTAAAAATTTTACTTTGAAATTATTGTTCTTCAACAATTTGTTGTGGCTTTTAATTAAATGGTTATTTCTAAATTTACTATAAAGTTTTTTTTTTTAAATAATCTATTGGAAAGCACTCGCATTTCATAAAAAAACATTAGCTCTTGCACACGTTTTAATATTTCACTACCAATATTTACAATGTTTTTTTTTGACGTCAAAATATGTTTGCTCAAACAATTCAACAAACGCGATAAAATTGAAATTTTATATAATTATTTGAAAAAATAATCCTTACCCATATTTATAGATTGTTCAGTTCTATTAACGTTTAATTTTATTTTCTCACTAATGTGGTGTTCGCGACAGTATTTTCTATACAAATATAGGGATATTATATATTTTACACATAGACTAAACCATTTTTTTTGGTAAATCAAATAGATGATCATTTGTTCCTACTGTTAACACAGGGGCAGAAACATCGTCAGGTTACGGTGATGGTGTGTTAAAATAACTTTTGAAATATCGTATTTACACTTAGTACTTCGAGGTTTCTCTAAGATATTGGTTATAAATATCTTATTTAAGGCAATAATAACCAGTCGACATGTTGGTTTCTGGCAGTTACCCCCCCGCCTGTCTGACTTCTCTAAAGAAATTTTTGAGACAACGTCGATTATTTATTATTTTTCGTTGTTATCAGGACGATTCTGCCTATCACTTGTTTCATTTTTCAGAGATTTTTATATCAGCCTATTGTTATATTAAAATACATTTTAAAATAATTACTTCAAAATCAGAGAATTATATAATGAACAAAATATAAAAACTGTCAAAGTTGTACTTTTGTAAATTAATATTTATTAAATCAAAATAGAAATAGAATAGAATAGAAGCGGCCCCGCAGGAAGTGGACCTGGTCGAGTCACGACGGTTCGACAAAAAATGAGATTGATTTCATTATGACGGCCAGACGACAATTGTTCAGTGATGTCTCAGTGATCGTGAGGGTGAAAACCGGCAGCGATCACCGAAAGGTGAGAGGCACACTGAACCTAAACGTTAAGTTGGAGAAGTCACGTCTAATGAAGTCAACGCTCCGTCGCCCTCGTGCTCTAATCCAAAGTCCCGAAACCTTTCAGATCGAGCTACGAAACCGTTTTCAGTGCCTAGAAGACTGCAATGAAGTGGAGGCAGCATCGTTTCCGGGGCACCTGAGATTTTGAGTGAGATTTAGAGGTTCTATGGGCTGCTGTACACATCATCGTTGGAGCCACACGCAAGTGTGAGTAACGATTCAAGAGCGAGTCTTGTCCGACATTATTCCGATGATATCCCAGACGTCAGTCTGAGCGAGATTAGAATGGCTCTACAGCACCTTAAAAACGGCAAGGCCCCAGGCGAGGATGGAATTACAGCGGAGCTTCAGAAAGCGGGTGGAAAACCGGTACTTGAAGTCCTTCAGAAGCTCTTTAATTCCGTCCTCCGTGGTGGTATTACACCGGAGGCGTGGAGCAGGAGTGCGGTGGTCTTGTTCTTCAAGAAAGGTTACAACGTTTTCTTGAAGAACTACAGACCGATTTCCCTTCTTAGCCGCGTCTACGTGCTGTTTTCGAGAGTCATTACGAATCGTCTCGCGCACAGACTTGACGACTTCCAGCCTCCCGATCAAGCCGGTTTCCGAAAAGGCTTTAGCACCATAGACCACATACATATCCTTCGGCAAATTGTACAGAAGTCCGAGGAGTACAATTTGCCACTATGTCTGGTGTATGTGGACTATGAGAAAGCCTTTGATTCCGTCAAAATTTGGGCGGTGCTGCAGTCCCTTCAGCGATGCCAAGTTGACTGTCGGTATATCGACCTGTTGAAGCGCTTGTACAGTGGGGCTACCATGGCTATTCGAGTACAGAATCAGAGTACGAAACTTATCCAATTGCAGAGAGGTGTAAGACTGGGTGACGTTATATCCCCGAAACTCTTCACCACTGCATTGGAAGACGTTTTTAAGCTTCTGGACTGGAAAGGATACGGTATCAACATCAATGGCGAGTACATCACTCACCTTCGATTTGCCGACGATATAATCCTTATGGCAGAATCACTGGAGGACCTAAGCACTATGCTCAATGACCTCAATAGTGTTTCCCAACGGATGGGTCTTAAGATGAACATGGACAAAACAAAGATCATGTTTAATGTCCATGTTACACCTATGCTGGTAGTTGTTGGGAGCACTAAGCTCGAAGTTGTTGATGAGTATGTTTACCTGGGACAAATAGTCCGACTAGGTAAGTCCAACTTCGACCGAGAGGTAAATCGACGAATTAATCTCGGTTGGGGAGCGTTCGGGAAATTACAGCACATCTTCTTGTAAGGTAAACCTCAATACTTGAAAAAGAGACTGTACAACCAGTGCGTTTTCCCAGTGATGACCTATGGAACTGAGACGTGGTCCTTCACTACTGGCCGGATGAGGAAACTCAAGGTCGCTCAGCGAGCTATGGAGAGGG